TTTCATTAGATTAGAAGTACTGTCTCCATTACAAGTATATATCATCCTGCAATATTTACAGGTAGCCTTTTTGTCCTTTTTAAAACTTGCACTCCTTGTAAAGTATTCTTATACTTTACTTCTAAAAATTGTTGAGGTAACTAAGATCAATTCTGATGGATTGCTTGTATTAGTATTTTAAATATTAATATTGTCATGGCTACTTTCATTATATGCAAATTGTATGTTATCAAATAAGTTTTCATATTCCATTTTTAAAAAAAATAAATTAACAAAAGCAAAAGATACGATGAAAGTAATTAAGTAGTAAAACTATAATATCACAAAGAAATGGTTAAAAAATTATCAAGAAGAACAAGTATTGAATTTTTTTTAACTTTCCTTTTATATTATTTTTTTTAAAAAAAAAACTATTTTAATTTCTTAAATAGTTTGATTTTAATTTCCTAGATAGTTTGATTTTAATTTTCTAGACAGTCTGATTTAAATGAAATTAAATAATTATATAATAATTTATGTAGACTGGTACATATCTGATTTGAATTATATCAGGTTTGATCTGAATCCAATTTGAATTCAATAATTTTGTAAATTTAAAATTCAAATCTGATCAGATTAAAAATTTTAAAATTTAATTTAATTCGATTTGTATCTGATTCATAGATCAATCAGATTCAAATCAAAATTGTAAATACTATACATAGATAGTAATGTCCAAAGAAGATATGAAAAAGATTCTAGAAATAGCAAGGATCTTTTACAAAGCAAATGACTCTCAGATTAACAACAATAAGTTAGTATTAGTTACTATCAATAATCCTAATCACTACCCAGAAGAAGTTTATGTAAGAATCAACAAAGAGTGGTTAGAGAGTTAGATAGAGGAAAGCAAGCAAGATTCCTGAAAATATGGACAGACAACCAGAAAACTGCAATCGAACTTAAAGAAAAGGTCTTAAAAGAAATCAATACTGTTATGAGAGCTCTCAAAAACAAGAAAATGATCAATAAACAAGTCCTTTATATATTAAATAGAGTATTAATTCTAAGAATAGCGGTTAGAATGCAGTATAGTATATTGTTCTGAAAAATATGCAATAACTTGACAGCAATATATCACAAGCTCTTCATGAACAAAGCAGCCTTATATAGATCCATTCCAAATAGTGTGATTTACCATCTGAAGATATATAATCTTAAAAGTATATGGATGCTCCAAAAAGAAAGCCAAATAATTGGTCTCTGTAATAGAATAAATAATCAGAGTTCAACAGGACTTACTACAATTATCAGGTTAAAACAAGTGCAGATTAAACACTGGGAGCCCCACAATATTCTTTCATGTGAATTTCTAGATCACCTTGATAATAAAAGAAATTTAACCTTACAAGTTCTAAAGTTATCTAAGGACTTGGAACTAAATTTTCAGAACTGGAAATGAAATGATATTTTCAAATAGATCAAAGGCAATAGTCCAATTAAAGAACATCTAACAATAGAAGAATATAGAAAGGCAATACCATCTTTGTGAAATAATAGGTTAATGTATATAGACCAGCTAATAAACCAAAACTCCACAAAATTCAGAAAGTGATAAATAATTCAACCTATCCAACACACTAGCAAAGACCCTATCCCAGAATGATATTATATCCTACAAAGAACCACAACTAAAAAAAGTATAGAAGACCTCACAACACTTTGGAAAAAAGGATAGAAAAAAAAGTGGCTATCAAAATACACTAATCTTGAACCTGGCAGAGATAAAAGAAAGAAAACCTGGATAGTTACCTAGAAAGAGAATTAACAAAAAGTATAAGGAAAACTGTTTCAAGAGAATAGTCAAATATAGAAATAGAATCAGATTTGATCTATACTATACCATTCTTAAACTATCAAAAAAATACTAGAAGAGTGCAATAACTAAATGTTTCTTGTTTCCTATTGGAACTAGATAATATAATTATCAAGAGTATAGTCCTAGAAACCCAAGATCCGATAAATGATCAAATTGAAAAAATGGAACAAGTATTAATAGGAGATTGAAACAAAAAATACTTAGAGACAATGTTAAGCAGAAAGAATATCAAGATTACCTACTTGAAATCTTTTAGCACAATCAAGGATCACAGAAGAAGCTAACCTTCTACTCCAATGAATCCTTAATTGACCATGGAAATGAAAATGCAAAAATAGATGTAGTATGGATACAAATAGAAGGAGTTGAAAAAGAAAGTAAATTTTAGACAAGAGACAAAAACTGGTCTTCATTCACAAGGGCAGAACTGGTGATACTGATTACAATAGCTTTAATAGCTTCGATAGATAGTATGATCAAGATCTTCACATATAGTCAAGTATACATCTCTAAATAGAAAAAGCTAGAGAAAGAAGATCCAAAAATGATACACAAAAGATGACTAAAAGAAAAGAATTGATCATTATGGATAAAAATATTAGATCTTGTAAAGAAAAAGTATATTCAACTAATGTTGACCAAGGTTAAAGCCTATTTTAATGATTCATAAAATGAAGAAGTAGACTGATTGACCAAAGAGGAGTTAAAGCTACCAATAATAGAATAAAAGAGTCTCAAATCAAGCAAGATATCCACAAAAACTATGTGACAAGAAAAAGTGGTAGATAGACCAATATGACAGTTCATCAAACAAATCAATAAAAAATCAATAGCTCTATCATGAATACAACAATACAAAACAAAGACAAAATGGCATCACCAAGTTCACAAGTATCAAACCTACTCATAGAATCTGGTATGGGATAGGTTAAAGGATGAAAATACATGAGATATTTCTTTCAAAAGCTTACAAAGAAGAAACTTCCTGATTAAATTGACTAATGATGAACTATCTACCTTAAGCAAACTAGTAATAAGAAGACCAGACCTATATAAGCAAGCAAGATATATAGCATACAATCAGTATTAAGAGACAATAGAACATTTACTAGAATACTCTAGTCATAATATTGAGATCCTAGTAGTATGGCAAAAAGGATTTGAGACTTTTTTTAAAGAATTCAACAAGTTGTATCAAGAATATAAGAGAAAAGTGGATGAAAAAATGGTATGACTAGTAGTCAACAATAGAAGAGAAAAAGATGAATTAGATAAATAGGTCTCCAGACTAATAGAATTAGCCTCACTAACTGGTTTGAGCACTCTTAACTTTTGCGTAAGATTAGTAGAAGGTGATGCAATCAAAGAAGCTGTTAACCTAAATTGTTATAGAAAAAAGCTGAGAACAATGATAAAAAAAATGGATTCTAAAAGTACAAAAGAAAGTTTGCAATCAAATCTGAAAACAAGTCTAAAATGTAAGATATGAAAAGATCATTAAATGTGAATAAAAACAAAGAATTGATAGAAGAATAAAATATATAAAGGCCAAGAAGTAAAAAAGTAAGATCTGTAAGATAATTCCAGTCACAAAAGTACAAGGTAAAGAGAAGAAGAGAAAGAGAGTAAAAACAAAAACCTTGTAGAAATTATAAGAAATGGAATTAAATATAGAATGAAGTAATTGGGTTTTGATTTTTATCAGAATTTTATATAATAATCTACAGTAGTGACTTGTGACAATGATGTTAGAAGTTGAAAGGGTTTTTATCTGAAGTACTAACGGAGTGATAAATTATTCCTGAAGTTGCACTTAGAATCCTAGATAAATATAAGACTTTAACAAGTAAGTTAGTTAGAGATTTAACTATAGTGACATTTATATAATATATAATTTACAATTGTTTAATAAAGCACATATAATTAGTCTGATAGAAGATTATAAAAAAAAAAATAATAAATAAATAATATATTTAATAATTTTTTTTTAATAATTCTCTGTTAAATTAGACATGTTTACTTTATTAAATATTAGTATATTCAATGATTTTTTTTTTGAACTAGTAAATAATTTTTTTTAATCTATCGTCAAGCTAACATAACTTATTTTTATTGTGTATTTTAAAAATATTATACAATTTAAAAGATTTTCACATGACAGCTTACCCATCTTAGAAGTTTAACTTCTTTAGATACAACTTAGAAGATGATATTTTACTCTCTTAATAACTTGGATTATCCTTTAACTATCAAACTTATTACTTACAAGTCATTACTGTAATTTTGAACTAATAAATAGTAAAGCTTATACAATATACAGTATAATCAACTAATTAAAATTGCAAATTTAAAATAATTAAAACAAACCACTTTTTTATTTACTATTGATTGAATAAAATAGCATGATTGCATCTACATAAACACGTGATGCCAGTTACAAGATTAAATGATTTTGTATCACGTGACGGACTTAGTTGATTTCTGATATTATAAGATATAAGATATGATACATTACATAATTTAAATATTCAAATTCTTTTCTATAATCCTATTCATTGTTCATTGCACCACCAGCCATTGCTTCTTCCATCTCTTTCAATTCGCCCTCCATGGTTTTACTTCTCACCAAGGCTTTTTTTGCAACTTCCAGCTTGCCAGCTTTTTTGAATACCAACGCCAATTTTTTATAATTAGCGGTACTTGCCCTTACCTGTTCCATATATTTATCGATTGTCAATTGCCCAGTTTGAACCTGCATTTCCATCATTGTCATTTTAATTTGAATAGCAGATTTTCGATCTGTCAGATCGTCAGATACGGGTTTCTGTTGTGCCTGTAATGTTGCGATCTCTGCGTCGATCATTTCACTTTCTTGTTGAAGTAATTTAGTTGAAACAATCAAATCAACACTATAAAATTGATTCATAATTATTAAAAGTAATCACAATATGGTTAGCCCGTGTATTAATAATAGCGGTTTGTAAATTATTGTACGTACTCGTTTAATTGTTCTTCGGCTTGTTCCAACTCACTCTGCTCAGTCTCTGTTGATTGTGCGTTTTTGGTTAGCGTTGCGGGGGTGCGAGATGTGGATGGTTTTTGCGTAACAGAAGTGGATGCCTGCGATGGTTCTTCGCTAAGTTCATTTGCGGAGGTTTTCTGTACAGCAGGGATCGAAGGTTCAGAAGTGCCTGGATTTACAGGAGTTTTTAGTGATGTTGACGTCGGGTCAGTGTTTGAAGGGGTTTTGACGGAGGTTGACGCCGCAGGTCGAGATGTTAATTGCGAAGGATGATTGGTATTAAAATTATCAATAATTAACCATCTCTCGGTTTTTGTGATGACATCAGCCCTTAGTAACGGAGTCCTCATGCGCAACCGAATTTCTAATTTACCACCAGTAGGCTTACGGTTGTTATCAACGAGCTAACATTATCATAACAGATGAGTTTATGTGGAAAAGAAGCGAGATCTTTGGCTTGTACAACGAAATACCTCAACAACTTCGTGTATCTCCGATTTGCTGATCAAAGGGTCTAGTTTGACCTGGGCTTTACCAAGAGAGATGGCTTTCCTGAAGAAACCTCGGTAATGAAAAACTTCAAATAACGCCTTTTTTCGGTCGATATGACGTTGAAACGCCTTATTACGTTCTATGTTCAAGGTCTTTTTCCAGTTAAATTCTAATTAAAATATTAATATTCAATTATTTGACCGAATATCCAATGTAGCTTTACGATTAGATCCAAGTTAAACAGCTTTTACCTGGGTCCATGCCTCGTTTGGCAACAGATGTATCACCCTTTCCGCTACCCGCACCAGGACTACCTTCAGGCGGCCATCCAATATCGAAATTCACATAAGCTTCGACGTCCTTTCCATTAACCTCCTTATTCCCCATATTCCAAGCTCTCTCGATACAAACTTCCAAATCGTTCGCGGATAAATCGAAAAATGCATTTTCAACATTATACGTCACCTCCATGTAGCGAAATGGGGGCACGTCCTTGCCATGTTTTTGATAAGATGTCAAGGATTCCAAGTCAGCGGTGAAAGACTTTTTGTATTTGTAAAAGAATGATGCTTGTGACTTGTCACCAGATTTGAGATAATAAGCTGATATCGTTGTACATAAAGAAATTTGCGATTCCAATTGAGCCAATAACCGAGCGTACTGATCCTCTCTTGACATCTATATGTAGCATCTATTTTTTTAAGTGTCTCCATTTTTTCTTTAAAAAGAAAGAAAGAAAGAAAGAAAAAAGAAAATCGTACATAAATCATACCATAGTCAGGGGTTTTTCATCATCATTCAATAGTTGTAATTTGGTCGTGTCGATTGCAGTTAAAACTTTCTGTTTAGGAGTTTGCGTAGGAGTAACATTCGCCGTAACTTTTTTCTTTGATGTCGACGGAGCAGGCGATTGCGCCTTTTCAGTCATATCCGGCTCCCTAGGTAAGACCCAACCTTCAGGCAATTGACCACCACTCAGTAAAGATTGCATCATTGCCTGCAAGTTTTTCGCCGTGTTCATATATTCCTTGGCTCGTTGATAATTTGTGTTTTTAAGCATATTTACAGCCGCCATGTATTGATCTAGTCGCTGCTTTATAGATAAGATGAGTTCAGAATTTTTCGACGAGTCTGTTTCCTGTGAGAGTGCTGCATTCTCTGTTGCTGGTTTAGATGTCGAGGACGGTTTTAGCTGAATATTGTTCTGAGAAATTTCACTCGAGGTAGACGATTCATTTTTTAATATTTGATCACGTTTAGCTTCTAATTGTTTATAAGCCCTCATAGATTCCACCGCACCAGCTTTATCTCCTGCACGGTTTTTAGTCACGGCTTTAAGTTTTTCCTGCTGTATATACTTGGCCAGCATTTCAACATTTTCTTCCAGCAGCATGACATCAAGCGGTAGATCGATTGTCCGTGTGTCATGGTTCGACTGAGCCTGTGAACGAGAAACACCTTTATTGTTATCGGCTGCCACCGAAGCTGAATGATCAATAATCATTGTATTACTTTGTGGTTGAACTGGTGAATGAGAGACACCTTTGACATCATAATTCACCACCGCCGAATCTGATTGTCCAATCTTCGAGGTGTCGCCTTTCTGCTGAGAGTCACCCTTGTCGTTATCGGTTACTACCGACACCGGTTGATCTCGCCCCTCCATTTTAGACTTTAATTGTTGTTTCCGCGTATTTGTCACGGGCGTGCTCTCTTCATGTTTGACGGCCGCGCCATCATTTTCGCCGTCACTTTGGTAACCTAACTCCCGCAATTCACTCTATAATTTTTTTTTTTTTTTTTTTTTTTTCGAGAAAATAATTAAGAATGCCATAATAAAAAATATTGGTTGAAAGAATTGCGATCCTGAAAAAAGTTCAATAAACGTACTAACAAGGTGGGGTCCTTCATATCCTCCTCATCCAATTCAACCTCTACATCGTCATCATCATTTGGTGCTCCTAAAGCACCTAATGCATCAATATCGATTACGGGTACTGCTGCCACAGGTTTTGGAGGTATTGGTTTTGATTTGGGTGCTGGTTTAGATACCGGCTTGGGCTTTAGGTTTCCTGTTGAAAGGGCTTGCAACTCTCTCTAAGCAATAAAGAACACGATTTGTGTCATGATCGTTTCATTAATTCGAGCAATAACAATAAGTTTAAGCCACCAGATACCAGTAAAGTAGGGTCATTTAGATCCTCTTCATTCAAATCTTCGGCTTCTGGGGGTAGCTCGAAAACGTCGCCATAAATATTTATTCCGAGATCTTCTAGGTTAAAAGGTTTTGTTCCGCTGTCTCGAGACTCTTCACTTGACTTATTCCAGCCAAACATGTTCAGAATTAATGACGATTAAGCAGGTCTTGACAACATTAAATCGTTCACCTTTCGCCACTTTTTTTTGACGAAATTATGTTAAACATTTTCATACGCGAAAAAAAACGTTACACGAATTAATGTGTCACGTGAATTACAGAAATCAGTAAATATTTACACATGACTTTTTTTTTTTTTTTAGATCGAACCTTTTTAAATCTTTTTTTTTGCAGGTCCGTGAAGGTATATTGTAAACTTGTTTTGTTCACATTTCTTTATATCCGAATTAGAATAGAGATGATGAAAGTTTACATTATTTAAGGCTGTTTCAAACTGAATGTTTCATTCAATACATGTCGAACAAATGCCACTGATTTTTATTTTGGGTGCATTCAACTGTTTTGACGAATAATGCGGTTCGATGACACTAAATTACTATTAAATTTTTTTCATGCGCACATGAATTCACCACATTAGGTCGAAAGTCTCCGATGAGGAACGTATAATTGTCTTCAAGGTAAATAATTGATACGATAGATACATTATTATTATTATTATTTTTTTTTTACATTTGTCACCGCAGCATCTCGTTCAATATCCGAAACCCTCAAATTTGTTTTTTTGAAAAATCAAATGAAGTGGCAAAATTTGAAAATCTCGGATAAGATCAAGAAGGCAACTTCAATACTGCGTTATAAAATTGGAGTTGCTGGCATCCGAAAAACAGAAAGCAGGGTTTCTCGAAACCAACGATTATGATTGTTGTTTCGCATGGTCCCTGATACTTTTTGTGCCAGGATGTTACATGACACTCGTCTATTGCCAACCGTTTACAATTTTCTTATTCTTTTTTTTTTCTTTCTTTCTTTTATCTCCCTTTATGACACAATGATATAATAGGACGACAAGAGAAGGGAAAGGTGGGAAAGAGGAATGATTGGAAAAAGCCAAACATTGTGTAATTTTCATATATAAAAAAAGTTTTTTATATCAGAATCAAATAAATGAAACCGTTCAAAAATTTTTAGGTTTATTAATTTTAGGTTTATTAAAAAATTTTTATTTAATTAAAAAAAATTTTAGTGTTGTCTGTCCGTAAGACAGACCACGAAAAGAATCAATGGAAAAATGACAAGCCCCCAAACATCCACATAACTCAATCTCTAAAGTTTTCCTATTTTTTTTTTTTTCTTTTAACTTTGGTTCAACCATTGTTTCAATCTGTTGATCTGCTCCGTAACTGTGACTCTACTTGTTCCACCTAAGCTTGATCGATTCTCAATACTCTTTTCAAAATCCCATATCTCAGTGATATCTTGATCGAATGCCGGATGAAGCTGTTGAAAATCGGATAATGTTAGATTAGCCATGGTTGTGTTGCGTTCCTCAGCCGTGCGGACTGCGGCGCCTGCTATGTGATGGGTTTCACGGAATGGTACCTAAGTGAATGAGATTAATTAATTTGTGAACCCGAAACATTTTCCAAGGTACTGAATCGATCCAATCGGAGATAACAATTACCCCTTTCCGCACAAGGTACTCCGCAACATCCGTAGCCAACATATCAATACTTAAATTTCTCTTCATGTTGTCGGGGTGAATCTATGTTTGAGAAAGGAAGGACAAAGGGGTTTGCTTGTGAAATTGTGTCTTTAAATTGGTCATATCCGCTGCATCATTGGTGGTACTTACGGTGAGAGTTGATAGAACTCCGGTTGTAATTTGTAATGAGCCTGAAAGAGTTTCCACGGCATCGAAAAGTGGTTCCTTATCCTCTTGAAGGTCTTTGTTGTAGGTACTCGGAATGCCTTTGTATGTCATTAAGAATCCTGATAACTTTTGCAGTGGAGCGAAATTAATGTTAAACGAAATCACGAAAATTTTCCGAATGATTTTTTTTTTTTCTTTAATTACCTGTCCAAAGACACGTCCAGATTTGCCACGCAGCAGTTCGCAGCTATCGGGATTTTTCTTTTGTGGCATGAGACTACTTCCCGTACTGTAATCGGGGGGAAGGTTAGTGATTGAGGGAAAGAAATAGAGAACTATCAAAGAAAAAAAAAAAAATTCAATGGTGGTGACCTGTAAGCGTCGGCGAGAGTGACAAAACCAAACTCCCCGGAACTATAGATAATCAAATCCTCCGAGAATCTACTTATATGGATCATCGTCAGAGAGGCCCAGAACAGCAACTCGGCAACAAAGTCACGATCGCTGACACCGTATAAACTATTCTGCATGACACCTTTGAATCCCAATTCATTGGCCAGAAATTCTCTGTCGATATTGAAAGGATTACCGGCCAGCGCCCCGCTACCTAAAGGAAGAACGTTGATTCGATCGATAATTTGCTCGAGACGTTGAGCATCAGCTTGCCAACTCCAAGCATAACTTAGGAGCCAATGGCTCCATCTGATAGGTTGTGCTCTCTAAACATGTTTAAAAAATAATTCAATAAAAGTGGTCATTACAAAAATTCAGCAATGGACAGACCGAGTCACCTGCAAATGAGTGTATCCAGGCATTAACACATCAATTTCCTTCTCGGCCCTCTCAACAGCGGCACCAATTAATTGTTTCACGTAGACCAACAATTTTTTTGATTCCTCTCTAACCCAAATTCTGAAATCCGTCGCAACCTGGTCGTTTCTGCTGCGCCCGGTATGTAGTTTACCGGCAACGCTTCCGACCAATTCGCCCAGTCGTCTCTCGTTCGCGGTGTGAATGTCCTCATCGCCCGGTTGTATTACAAAAGTGTTTGTTTGCCACTCCGATCGAACCTTCTCGAGACCATCGACGAGCAAAGTTTGTTCTTCGGAGGTGATGATGCCTCGCTTAGCCAACGCTTTGGCGTACGCCTGCGAGCCAAGGATATCGGCTTCAAATAAACGCTTGTCAAAATGTATGGAGGCGTTAAATGCATCCATCAGGTGATCGGTTTCACCGGTAAAGCGACCTCCCCACAGTTTTGCGGATTTCATTTTTTTATTTTTATGTTTTATCAAGAATTGGGTTTGAAAAGGAGATGAGAGAGCAAAACCCTATTATATATAGCGTCAATTATTTATTAGATCGATGAAGGCATCAATCTAGCGATAAGATTTTTTTATTATCAGCATCTGAATCTCTACCAGATTAAGATGTTACAACAGAGATTTTTTAGATTTCACGGGGGTGTCCCCCGGTGCACGAAATTTCTTTTGAAATAACGCCTGATTTTTCGTTACTCGCTAAACCCACACGACTACCACCGCACAGTCAAGACAAACATGCGGATTACTCAACCATTTGAAAGTCAAATTTTTTTACAAACTGCACAAATTGTTCTGCGTCATTATGATTGCCAAATCCGTAAATAAAAAAGGCGGGTAACG